CTGAGGCAGGAGACTTGCTTGAGCCCAGGAGTTGGAGGTTGCTGTGAGCGTGATGCCATGGCACTCTACCCAGGGAGATAGCTTGAGGTTCCGTCTCAAAAAAAAAAAAGATCTAGAAATGAAGGATTTCTTTCTAGTTTAAAAATTTCAGGGCTTTTGGATGCCAGCAGGAGAGGGCTACACAGACCCATTCCTTACTGAAATAGGCAAAGTGGGTGAAAACTATTTAAAAAAGCTATTTAAATTCTTGGGAAATTGCCCTAAAAGCAATCAGCAAATAAAAAAAATTATTCAAGAAACTCTATTAAAATTTGGTAATAATAGTGAGTCTGTGACATTTCAGCCACCACCTGCTCCATCCTCCCAGTTCAGCTCAACCTGACAGAAGCTCCACTTTGGATATCTGGCCAGGAAGCACAGGCTTCTTTCCCCTTAGCTCCCAATCAAGGCTAACCATATCCCACCAAGAGGGCAGCAGACCAGCAGCATTGTTCATCTCGTCCAGCTCAAAGTTGAAAGGTAAATTCCTGGTAAGCGTGCACAAGAGGGAACTCACCTCCACCCAGCTCCACTGACTACCCCAGAACAGCAGGCAGGCCAAGAACCCTGGGCTCCTGATCACCTTTATCCCAGAGCTCACTGTTCACTTGGCAGGCACAAGTTTCAAGACAGGAGAGGCAAGCTTAGAGGACCAGACTGGGAGACTTAGACTACCACTCTGCCTAATATCCAGAGAAATGGCTCAGAGATTCTGCCTAAGAGGCAATTCATAACGAAAAAAAGCTCTGAAAGCTCTCCTCAAAGTAAGTGACTATTTGAAATAGAGTGTAGAGTAGTTCAAACCTTAAGGGAGCTCAGGATAACAACAGAACCTCTTAAGAGGCTATCTATATAATTAGAAACCTTAGGCTTACTCCATAATATTACCCTGTCATTAATAAGAAAATTAAATGAAATGTTCACAGTATAGTGTTATCAATTTACTTCCTTCTCTTTGCCCTAAAGTGTTTTAAGTCTCAGATGGGGAAAATACCTAACTCACAGAGATGTCATGAGTACTAATTTGGGTAACATACAAGCAACCAAATACATCACCTGGGAAATAGTGGATACTCAATGTAAACAGATCTCACATTCCTTTCCATTAAAAAAGAAAAAAATAAAGAAAGATCAAGGAACATACCTGTCTGGCATTCTTTGTTTTGGTTATGTGGTTTGCAAGAGGTGGCTTTAGTCTGCGTGATAGGCTTACATAATAAAGCTTTGTTCTTCAAAAGCCTTGGAGGTTGGGAAGGTGGCAGTTTCAGGGCATCTGTTTGTGTACTTGCCTAGTAAAAAAAAAAAGAAATTCAGAAATCAAAGAGATTTTTTTAAATCCTATTACAAGAAATATAATTTTAAAATAGGCTCAGTGCCTGTAGCTCAGCAGCTAGGGCGCCAGCCACATATACCAGAGCTGATAGGTTTGAACCCAGCCCAGGCCTGTCAAACAACAATGACAACTACAACCAAAAAATAGCCAGGCGTGTGGCGGGCGCCTGTAATTCCAGCTACTTGGGAGGCTGAGGCAAGAGAATTGCTTAAGCCTAAGAGTTTGAGGTTGCTGTGAGCTATGCTGCCATAGCACTCTACTGAGGGCGACACACAGTGAGACACATAGTGAGAAATAAATTTTTTTTTTTTAAATAAAAATCATGGCTCAGCACCTGTGGCTCAAGTGACTAATGTGCCAGCCACATACACCTAAGGTGGAGGGTTTGAATCCAGCCCGAGCCCACCAAAACAACAATGATGGCCGCAACCAAAACATAGCCAGGTGTTGTGACAGGCACCTGTGGTCTCAGCTACTTGGGAGGCTGAGGCAGGAGAATCGCTTAAGCCCAAGAGCTGGAGGTTGCTGTGAGCTGTGATGCCATGGCACTCTACCCAGGGGGATAGCGTGAGCCTTGGTCTCAAAAAAAAAAGTAAAATAAAAATCATCTTGGGTGGCACCTGTGGCTCAAGGAGTGTGGCGCCAGCCCCATATAAGGGTCAGACCCAGACCCTGCCAATAAATAAATAAATAAATAAATAAAAGAATCATCTTGGAATTACATGGAAGACATAGTATATATTCAACTAAACATGTGAGAATACTGTATTCCTGAAATAGTTATAGTACTAGAATATTTTAATAACTACATACTACTCTGAATGCATCTAATTATTATTTCTGTTTACCAAGAAAAATGTTATTTCTATTGTGACATCTTGTTACTCAAAAACAATGTTGGTTGAGTTTAAAATGAGAACTCTGGGCCAGGTATGATAGTGGCTCACCCCTGTAATCCTAGCACTTTGGGAAGCGGAGATGGGAGGGTAGCTTGAGGCCAGAAGTTTGAGGCTGCAGTAAGTGTGATGGTGTCACTGTACTCTAGCCCAAGACACAGAGGCAGACCCACTCCTCCAAAAAATTAATGAATGAAACAAAATAAAAACTCTTACTTCCTGAAAGTCTTAGAAAACTTAGTTTCAAAGTAACTAGGAGTAACAGAATCACTTATGATCATTTAAATAATAACTTGAAAAGGGACACTAAAATTATCCTAGAGATCAGGAAATAATTTAAAATACCATTGCTCCCACTGTAAGTTTTTCTCATTATTTATTTTCTTCTTTCAAGAGATAAAATGGAAAAAATTAATGAGCTTTTTAAAAAAGGAGTTTTTTTAACTGTATAATCTGTACTGGGCAGGGAGATAAGCTGCATTTTATAAGTATTTCATTTGTAATCTATGTATATTATAAAACACCCCAAAAAGACCTTTATGCCCAAATTCTGTACAATTTTCTTTAATTCTGTACAATTCTTAAAAAAAACTTCAGTAAGTACATAAAGAGAGCAAAATTTCAACAAAATTAAGTACATAAAAGATCTACTTAAATAACCAGAAAACAAAGATTCCTAAACAAAGATTAAATGAGTTCATGACATTTTATATAGTAAAGAATAAGGGTAGGCAAATTAGCTCAGACATATTAATACTGCATAAAAATGAAAAGTTAATACAGTGATAATACCGATAAAAATAATAAAACTTACATCCCCAATGATTTTCGCTGTTACTGTTGGAACTGCACCTTGATATAAATTAAAACAATATATTTAGGATCTCTTACAATTATTTAACATTAGCACTAAAAGTTGATAATCAGTCCACAAACACAAAGCCTCATGCTAAGAATAAGCATCATCTTAATTTAATTCAATGAAAGATACTAGTAATATTAAAGTATGAGAAAAATGGATACGGAACTTGTGAAAACACTATTCAATGCTATCGCAGCCCGCAGTGCATCACCAGTCCTACAGATGAATGTGTCAAACAGGCTCAGTGCCTGTAGCTCAGTGGTTAGGGTGCTGGCCACATACACTGAGGCTGGCAGGTTCAAACCCGGCCCAGGCCTGCTAAAACAACAATGACAACTGCAACAACAACAACAACAAAATAGCCCGGTGCTGAGGCAGGCACCTACAGTCCCAGCTACTTTGGAGGCTGAGGCAAGAGAACTGCTTAAGCCCAAGAGTTTGAGGTTGCTGTGAGCTGAGATGCCACAGCACTCTACCGAGGGCCAGAGCAACACAGTGAGATTCTGTCTCAAAACAAAACACCAAGGGCAAGGGCGACATAGTGAGACTCTGTCTCAAAACAAAACAAAACAAAACAAAACAAGAAGAATGTATCAAACATAAGAAAACAGTCACTGATGGAAAAAAGTTACAGAACTATTGTATCCACCTCAAAAAGGCTAGAAAAATGCTTTCAAATCAAGCCATACCTTGTAAGACACTGTTAGAATTCACTGTGGGCTGAGCAGCAGGAGCACTTGCCAATGATACTACATTAGCTATAACTGGAGTCGAATCTTTTCTCAGAGTTGGGGGCCCTGCTGAAGCAGCTTGAGCCATGGAAACATTTGCTGGTTAAAATAAACAAAAATAAGGAAAACTCATGTAATTTATATGAGAAACCAACATCTCAAGGAAGTTAAACAATGCTTTCAGGTTTGAATAATTTCTGCTAAAGTAAAAAGTTGCTTCAGAATTAACTGAGTTTTGGTTTTCTATTTTTTAATTAGTGCAACTTGAAAGTCTTCGTCATCTTTGTGTAAAAATGCAACAGACAGTCCCACTTAATAATCAACACAAAAATCCCCAAAGGTACAATCTCACTGATGAATGTGAGGTAGATTTAATGGACATTCAAGCCAAATGTGTTCCTTAAACCATGCCTTCACATAGAAAAAATTGTTTAAAGTTTCTGGAGTAGGCTCGTGTAGACCTTGCTCCTATTTGTAAACAAAACTATACTTAAACTTTTCTAGCTTTTGGGATACTACTCATTTTGTCTTTAAACCATAAAGTTTTTGAGATTAAATGGCCTAACTATGCAGATGGTGTATTTAAAAGGCTATATGATTTAGACTTTATGCCTTTTCTTATTACAGGTAGTCTCGAAGCTTTTTAATAAGGAAACCAATTATACCCAATTACAAAACATTAACTATTATCCTTTGCCATAAAGTTCTTACAGAGTTTATCTAATTCAATATGCTCAACAGAAACCTAAATTCTCATTTTTACACAGCTTTATTATTATACATTCAATAAAAAAGAATCTAAATCTTAATGCCATTTAACAAAAGGAAATGAATGTTTTATAAAAATAATGACAACCATTTACAGTTCCCAAGCTATACAATAGTAGTTAGTTCCTGGCATTCATCAAAGATTCCAGTCATCACTTAAGTTTAATTTTACCTGCACTGTTTTGTGAAGGTGGGTCACATACACTTTGCTGATTACAGAACATTAAGATACAAAGTAGATTACAAAAATGTTTCATTTCCCCTCGCCACTTCAAGGACTCATTGAGTTTACCCTGTCGCTTACAACCATCACATTTGGCCATCTGAAAAGGAAAAAAAAAATAGTAAAGGAGTGAGAATCAAAATATCTGCAGTCTTACAGAGGATATTAATTTAGAATTCAGAACATAAAATTAAAGGTTGACTGTCTCAAAATGGTAAGTATTTCTCTATTAGTGATTTTTAAAACCATGTAAATATGATAGAGACTCACTAAATAGAATTTAAGAAGCAAATAAGTGAAAATAAAGGCTATCTTCCTCAAAGACTTCAGAAGACAAATTTGCATCATTTAAATAATAAAAGAATAAAGTAATAATGTTAAATATTTTGGTATCTTAAGACTCATGTGTCTCCTATAGGAAATTAAAGGAATAAAATTTCAATGACATTAATAAATTTGTTCCTAAATTTTATATTAATTGATATAGAGTATGAACAAATACTTTATAAAGTTTTTTTTTTTTTTTTTTTGGAGACAGAGTCTCACTTTGTAGTCCTCTGTGGAGTGTCATTGCATGAGAGCTCACAGCAACCTTCAACTCTTTGGCTTAAGCAATTCTCTTGCCTCAGACTCCCAAATAACTGGAAGTACAGGCGCCCACCACAACACTCAGCTTTTTTTAGAGACAGGGGTCTCACTCTGGCTCAGGCTGGTTTCAAACCTGTGAGCTCAGGTAATCCACCTGCCTCGACCTCCCAGAGTGCTAGGATTACAGGTGTGAGCCACCACGCCTGACACTTTAAAGTTTTAAATCATGAAATTGCCCTTCATACTAAGTGAAATTTTAAAAGGGAATAATTAATTTAACTCAAAAACCCAGGAATGTTAATTATATTTACCTGATAGAACAATAGTGTGTATTTAGACATGCATTCTTCACAACAGAACTCTTCCACCTTTCCCCCCAAATTATTCTGTATCAATTTGGGAGAGGTCTGTAAACAATAACTGCACATTTTACAGTGATTTCGCCAGTGTTTTGCCAATTCATGTTTATAAAGCAATTTGCAACCTACAAATCAGGAAAGGTAAATTTAACATTAGGGAAAAATATTAATTATCTGTATCTTTAATTTAAATGGCCTAGGATAAAGTTGAGTCCTGACCAATTAACAGATTAAGAGATTAGAGGATCAAAACTAGCATTTTTTTAAAATGAAATAACAGGATAGGACAAAGTAGAGAATATTAAATTGCATCACATATAGTAAATTTTCTTTCACGCAACTTATATTATTTGGGTATGCAAAAATATACTGGGTCACAATGTAAAATGTATTTCTTCTTTTGTGCAGTGGTCCAAAGGCTTTAAAGCCACTGGACTAGAGCAAAACATTATAAATGACTAACACATCATTAATAAACACAGTCATATTAAAAAACAATCTACTTCATGCTGATTACTCAGAAACACAATGGCTGTTTAAAACAATAAAAATATAAACTTAGGATGCTACTATAATTTAAGGCATTCCATTTAGAAATAAGTGCAAGAATGTAAAAGACCTTTGAGTTCCCCATCAACCTAGTAATATTAAATACATCACGTTCTTCTGCCTCTTTTAAGATCTTTCACTTCATTTTAGTATCATTAAGACTAGACCAAAAAAAAAAAAAAAGAACTAAGTATAAACAAATAAAAAGGCTTTGGCACGGTAAGTCAAGGATAAGTAAACTTACATATTCATAGCTTGAATCATCAACTACTTTTAAAACAACCAACACGCTCAGTAAAATAATCTTCTATCTTTACCTTCACTACAAAATGACTTGTCAGCACCTGAGAATCGTACAGTCTCCTTTACAATTTTCTCAATTTTACAATATTCACACATTGCCATTACATTATTTATCTTCTTATATTCATCAGAACAATTCTTGCCACAGAACTGAAACATTTTACCCTGCAAAGAAATAATCATTAAGTACTAATTTAACATTTGGTTTGTCTTATATAAATCCTCATTCTTGTTACTTTGAAAACAAATGAAATAATTTTGAGAGATAAAAAGCTAAAAATTATTATACAGGTAAACTCAAACCCTTTCCACGAAGCCTATACTTTACCTTATAATCAAGAAGTTCTGGTTTTGTGGCAAAAAGACGATTACAGTGTTGACATTTGATTTTCACCACACCTCCCGCAAACCCAACATGCTGGGATTGGGCAGCAAGACGCTGGAGACCAGCTGCAGCAGAACTACTGATGGAAGAGGGAGAAGCAGCAGAGGTATTGCCTCCCCCTGCTGACACTGTTGAACCTGTGGGGATGCTTACAATTACTTGGCCCTGAGATAGGGGCACTACTGAAGAATTCATTCCAGTTGGTTTGTTGAATAAATTCTGAAAAAAAAACAAAACAGCAAACAGATCAGTTAAATCATATGTTCAGACAAATACGCATTGCATGCTTATATTATACAAAGCATAATTCTAGGCATGTAAGGTACATGAGTGACTAGGCAAAAATCCCTGCTTTTGAGCAGCTTATAACTGAATGGTGGGGAATCTCATTTATGACCACATAAAGTAAGTGAACTACTAATCTTCAAAAATGGTATCTTCCCAATAGATAATGTAGGTAATAACAGTACTATTTAATTGTACAGAAGGTAGTTAAATGACATACCTCTAAATATAGGATGAACTAAGAATCTACGTTTAAATAGAACTGAAATAGAAACTCAGACAATCCAGGCACTAGTAAACACCTAATATGTTTACATTACTACAGTAGGTGTCTTAGTGACTGAAGAGGAGAAGATTTCTGAAGCCATACCTGGAAAGCTATTACACAACTGTAGCTGCAGAAGTTACGTATACTTCCATCTGACATGGCTAGGTGATACTGAGGGATTGCTGAGGTTTTACAACTGTTACACTGAACTTGTACACCTTAGCGAATCAAAATAAAATAAGTATAAGTAATATATACAAATGTACACAAATGTATGAGAAATAAATATTATATAATATACAAAAAATGAAGGGCCAGGTTAAGTTGCAGCAACTGAAACTAAATTCAAAGCATCTCAATCATGTCACATATAGACAAAAACTAACTTAACATTAAAAACTTTAATTTTTATGTAAAAGTAGTCATGGTCCATCCTGAAACTGTAAAATAAATGAATCTTAAATCAGGTGTGATAAAGAAAATACATTAAAGAAGCCATATAAAATTCTATTGGTAAGACTTTAAGGCCTCAATATATATACAAGTAAATAAATAATCAGGGTGATATTTTACAACAATATTTTGAAATATGTTAAATCTGCCTTAAAAATCAACTAAATCTGTAGAATAATCTATACCATAAAAACAAAGCAATAACCCTTATATTTTCAATTATTACATTTCATAGTTTATAAAACCAGTATTACCTGCAGAAGTAACCATTTTAACTCTGTAAGCAGATAAGCAATTAACAGAACAGAAAAGCTCTGTCTTCCCCAAGCTATTGGTATTTTCAATCATTTCTGCTGAGGATCTCAACGATTTGCAAAGCGCACATGGAGTAATTTTGGCTGATTTCTATTAAGAAAATAAAAGAACATTCATTTTTACCAAATTCCTAATAAACGCATAACTCCTTGAATGTTTATACTAAAGGCTGTTAAAATATATGTTTTGGAGACAGAATCTCACTCTGTTGCCCAGGCTAGAGTGCCATAGCATCACCCTACCTTACAGCAACCTCAGACTCCTGGGTTCAAGCAACCTCCCACCTCAGCCTCCTAGCTAGTTGGGACTACAGGCACCCACCAAAATGCTCAGCTCATTTTTTTTTTATTTTTTAGAAGAGATGGAGTCTCGTTCTTGCTCAGGCTGGTCTTGAATGCCTGAGCTCAAGCAATTCTCCCAAAGGCTGTTAAAATATTTTATTTATTTATATAAGTATGTATGTATGTATCTATTTAATTTTTTATTAGAGACAAGAGTCTCACTTTGTGCACTGGAATGAAGTACCATGGTGTCAACATAGCTCATAGCAACCTCAAACTCTTGGGCTCAAACCATCCTCATTCTGTCTCAGCTTCCCAAATAGCTGAGAGACTATAGACAACCACAAATTTTCCTATTTTAAGCAGAGACAGGGTCTCCCTCTTGCTAAGGCTGGTCTTAATCTCTGAACTCAACAGATGCACCAGCATCGGCCTCCCAGAGTGCTAGGATTACAGGCATAAGCCACCATGCCTGGCCTGTTGAAATATTTTAAATCAGAGCATTTCAAACATTTATGATTACAATTCTCAATGAGAAATGTGAATAAATTTACAAGTGACTTATGAAACACATATTCCTGTGATTCAGCATTTGCATATTATGTATGTATATAAAACTGAAAAAAAGTTTTATAGAGCAATATATATCATGATAACATGTAATGCACTTTGATCTTTGCTATTTTTCCATTCTATCCTGCTTTATTAAAAAGTAATGCTGGTTATAAGTCTAGTAACTGGGTGTAACCATAGATTTTTTTAGGGTGTGACCATAATTTAAAAATCTTTTTAACATTACTTTTTCTTTCTTTACAGAAAGGGTCTCACTCTATCACTCAGGGTGGAATAGAGTGGTGCAATCATAGCTTACTGCAACCTCACACTCCTGGGCTCAAGCAATCCTCTGTCTTAGCCTCTCGAGTAGCTGGGACTGCAGGCATGCACCACTACCCTCAGCTAATATTTTTTATATTTTATAGAGAAAGGGTCTTGCTATGTTGCCAAACTGGTTTTAAACTCCTGACCTTGGCTTGGGGCCCACAGCCCAGTGGTTAGGGTGCAGGCCACATGCACCAGGGCTGGTGGGCTCAAACCCAGCCCGAGCCTGCTAAATAACAATGGTAACAACAAAAATATAGCCGAGTGTTATGGCAGGCGCCTGTAGTCCCAGCTACTTGAGAGACTTAGGCAAGAGAATCACTTAAACCCAATAGTTCGAGGTTGCTGTGAGCTGTGACACCATAGCACTCTACTGAGGATAACACAGTGTGACTTTGTCTCAAATAAATAAATTAAATAAATAAATAAACTCCTTACCTCCTGGTCTAATACTCCCACTTCAACCTCCCAAAATGCTGGATTACAGGTATGAGCCACCACACTAAACCCATAGTTTTAAAATTTTTATAACATAGCATGGAGTTCATGCTCGTATACTCTACTACCCTAAAAATTCTAAGAACCCCCACTAAAGGTACTATACCTAAGCAATAAAACGTGACTTTAAGGAAACTGATAAACATATTAGAAAAGTAACTGTCAGGAAGCTAGGAGAGGTGGCTCACATCCGCAATCCTAGCACTGTGGGAGGCCAAGGTGGGTGGGTCCCTTGAGGTCAGGGGTTTAAGACTAGCCTAAGCAAGAGAGAGGCCCCATCTCTAAAAGTAGCTGGGAGTTGTGGCAGGTGCCTGTAGTCCCAGCTACTCAGGAGGCTGAGGTAAGAGGATTGCTTAAGTCCTAGAGTTTAAGGTTGCTGTGAGCTATGATGCCACAGCACTCTACCAAAGGAACAAACTGATACTCTCTCGGGGGTGGGGGGGAGCCTAATTGTCAAATATTCTACCACTAATAACAAAAAAGTACTCTATCAATAAAGTGGGAGCAAACCTCGGATATCACAAGGGTCCAAATATAAATAAAGAGTCTGTTTGGTCTACACTTAGAGATTCAGAGGAAAAAAATGCTAAAGATTATTAACATGTCATACATTCAGGATAATTTATAAAGTAAATCTACCACCAGTTAGGAGATTTAAGATGTCTCTTCCCTCTTAAAGGATAAATTTGTGAGGCTTGTTATTAATACAGATACATTTTTTTTTTTTTTTTTGAGACGGAGCCTCAAGCTATCCCCCTGGGTAGAGTGCCATGGCATCATGCTCACAGCAACCTCCAACTCCTAGGCTCAAGCGAGTCTCCTGCCTCAGCCTCCCAAGTAGCTGGGACCACAGGCGCCCGCCACAACGCCTGGCCATTTTTGGTTGCAGCCATCATTGTTGTTTGGCGGGCCCGGGCTGGGGATTCGAACCCGCCACCTTAGGTGTATGTGGCTGGCGCCTTAGCCGCTTGAGCCACAGGCGCTGAGCCAATACAGATACATATTAAAGTGAACATATTCTTGAATTCTAGAATGTCTTCTAAATCTCCCACCCCATGTCCTCTTCCTCTCTGATAAGGACTGCAAACACAAACTTCATTTATAAGACCTGAATCAAGATACACCTCTGTGAACTTTTGCTGATAGTCTCATCATTCCCTATACTTCCTCTATGGCCTACTATACCCACTAAGATTTTGACCATGGCATCTCTGTTTACTTGTTCGTATTATCTTCCCATGGAGAAACATAGCTCCTCCAAACAGGAACATCTAATGTTTGTTGAGTAAATTATATGTAACAATAAAGCAACAAAAATGACAATCTATAGCCAGATTTCATACTAAAGTGCTATCTCATTTTTACTTCATATAACTCTAAAAACATCCCAGTGCCATGGGTGGTATTATAGCCATTTAAACATAGACAAACTGGGACCAAGGATGTTTAATTGCTTTGCCTAAGGTAAAAATCATATTTGAACAGAAAGTCTGAAATCAAATCCCGATCTGCCTTACTTCTAAATTCCAGTTCTTTCTCTACCAAAGTACATATTAACATAATACATGAGAAACTTAGTAGGTCTGGGCTAAACTAAAAAGTAATGAATGAACCACAGAATACTAGTCAGTCATTCAAAAAATGGAGATTTTACATCTTTTATAACCACCTGGACAGACTTGGAGAACATCCTCCTAAGCGAAATATAACAGGAATGAAAAGACAACCATCATGTGTAGTCAGTACTAAGGTGAAACTAATAGATTAACAATTACAAGTTCACACAAGAGAAAAGCTCAGTTGGATTTTATTAAAGCAGGAGTGGAAGGGGTTTGGTGGGTTCCCACCCAACAGGTACAATGCATGGGTATATGGCAGAGCTTCTGGGTGAAGGACAGCTATCACTCAAACTTTAACCTTACAAATGCAAACCATAAAACCTAATCGTACGTACCCTCATATTAATCTGAAATCAAAAACAAAAAATGAATGAATTGGGCAGGCATGATGGTAGCTCATGCCTGCACTTGAGCATTTTGGGACAACAATATAGGAGGATCCCTTGAGCCCAGGAGTGCCAGATCAGCCTGGTCAATATGGAGAGACACTGCCTCTACCCAAAAAAAGAGCTTTTAAAAATTAGCCAGGTATAGTGGTGTGCATCCATTGTCCCAGGATTGCCTGAAGCCAGAAGTATGAGGTTGCAATGAACTATGATGACATCATTGCATCAAGTAACAGAGCAAGACCCTATCTCAAAAAAATAAAGGAAAAAAGTAATGAATAAGTTTGAAATTAGGATGTTTCATCCTATTTCTCCTTCTTTTGTAGACTATGAATCTTCTTTCAATGAACTGAATCTAAGTAACTTTTAGTACCTGATATAATATCAGGAAAGGAACAAAGAAAATACAAATGAAGAGACTGGAATTTTCTTTTTCCCTATGACAGCATAAATGATGAATAGTAAAGCTAAGGCCTTTAATACAACGCTGTTACATTAACAAGAAATAAACTGAAACATTATATAATGTTGAAATACCAAAATTACTATGAAGTTTAAAGAACCATTTCTTAGGAAATTTTCCAATTGACACTATTATATTCACCAATTCTGGTGGTCTGCATAAAAACTCACTATTCTAAGAAAGAGAATGATCAGCAAATACATTGAAACAGGGAGCCACTGTAAAATTTAAAAGGTAAAAAGTACCATATTTTTCCTGTGTATAATATATTCCTGTAGAAAATGCATACCTATGTTTTTGGCCCCAAAATTTTAGGGGGAAAAATTTTTTTTTAAATTTTTTCTTTTTTAAACATAGAGTCTCACTCTATAGCCCTGGGTAGAGTCCAGTGGCATTATAGCTCACAGCAATCTCACAGAGTCTTGGGCTCAAGCCATTGTCTTGCCTCAGCCTCCTGAGCTGGGACTATCAGCACTCACCACAATGCCCAGCTGTTTTTAGAAACAGGGTCTTGCACTTACTTAGGCTGGGCTTGAACTCCTGAGCTCAAGTAATCTACCAGCATCAGCCTCTCACAGTACTACAATTACAGGTGTGAGCCACTACACTTAGCTTGATTTTTTTTTTTTTTTTTTTTGAGACAGAGTCCCAAGTTGTCTGCCTAGGTAGTATACCGTGGCATCATAGTTCACAGCAACCTCCAACTCTTGGGTTCAAGAGGTCCTCTTGCCTCAGTTTTTCTATTTTTAGTAGAGACGGGGTCTTGTTTTTGCTCAGGCTAGTCTCAAACTCGTGAGTTCAAGCAATCCACCTGCTTTGGCTTCCAAGAGTGTTAGGATTATAGGCATGAGCCACCACACCCACCTCAGTTTAATTTTTTTTGTTTTTATTTTGAGACAGAGTCTCACTATGTTGCCCTTGGTAGAGTATCATGGCGTAACAGCTCACAGCAACTTCAAACTCTTGTGTTTAAGCAGTTCTCTTGGCCTCAGCCTCCCAAGTAGCTGAGACTACAGGTGCCTGTCATAATGTCTGGCTAATTTCTTGTTGTTGTCACAGTTGGTTAGCTGGCCTGGGCCAGGTTTGAACCCACCAGCCTGGGTGTATGTGGCCGGTGCTTTACCCACTGAGCTACAGGTGTCATCCTCGTTTTAATTTTTTAATTCAAATTTTTATTTGTTTGTATTCAAGTACTTGGTTTTTGTATTATAAAGGAATTTTAGCATTTATTTCTTACCATATTATGGTATAAGAAATTTCATCTAACAAATAATTACAAAACACAAAAAGGGATAACAACTACAAGAATTTTTTTTTTTTTTTTACACAAAGTCTCATTATGTCACCCTCGGTAGAGTGCCGTGGTGTCACAACTCACAGTAACCTCAAACTTCTGGGCTTAAGCGATTCTCTTATCTCAGCCTCCCAAGTAGCTGGGCCTACAGGTGCCTGCCACAACACCAGGCTATTTTTTGTTGCAATTGTCAATGCTGTTTAGCTGGCTGGGGCTGGGTTTGAACCTGCCAGACTCAGTGTATGTGGCTGGCACAGTAACCACTGTGCTATGGGTGCCAAGCAACAAGTACAAGAAATTTTATGAACTGGCAACAAAAAGTACTACCCATGTATAATGGACATCCATATTTTTCTCTCAAAACTTTGGGCAAAAAGTGCATTATACACAGCAAATATAGCACTTGCCATTCCTTCACATTTATCAATTTTAAAACTAATATATGATCAAAATTTACTAACAAAATATATATCTAATGCACACAAAACTACAAAAAAGATGTGTTGTATAGAATTCATTCACTTCATCCTCTGCAAAACTCAGTAATTCACAAAATAATAAATAACCCATGTCTATTTTCTTCTATTTAATGAAGACAAGGAAAAACCTATTACTATAACAATTAATGGTGAGATTTTTTTTTTTTGAAACATGGTTTCACTGTATCGGTAAAGTACTGTAGCATCACAGCTCACAGCAAACCTCAAACTCTTGGGCTCAAGCCATTCTCTTGCCTCAGCCTCCCTTGTAGCTGGGACTACAGGTGCTCTCCACAATGCCCAGCTATTTTTTTGGTTGTTTGTTTAGCAGGCTGGGGCGGAGTTTGAAGCCACCAGACCTGGTGCCTGTGGCTGGTACCCTAACCACTGAACTACAACCACCAAGCCTAATGGTGAGATTTTGACTTTCTGGTTTACAATTTTAATTATGTGGAACCAATTTCAATAATATATTATGCAACATGGAATGTTTCTATATTATTAATATGTATTAATAATGTATTATAATATAATTTATATAAACTATATAACTGTTATTTATAATAATGGATAATATATTATTTCATGTTGAACAAAAAACATATATGTAAATCAAAAGTTATTTCAAAAATTTAGAAGGCTATGCCTCAGAAGAGAAGGAGTGGGTATCTATGCTCTCATAGGCATTATACTTCCTTTGCACATTCAAAATATTATTCAAAAATATAACTCACATTTGAAATTAAAGGGCCACACCCTAAAGACATGTATTTCAAATGTATGAACAAATCTGCTACTTACAGAACTCTGTAAGAGTATTTAACATTCACTTGACAAACACTATTTGTATGTAAAGAATATCAGTTAAGCAAATAGTAAGCTCTTAATATATTTTAAAAAATTTTTCATACATAATTCCCACTAAAAACGTAGGATCCCCCCCTCCAAAATGAACAAGGTATTAAATATGATCATGTACCTGCTTGTATGCTGTGATACACGTTGAACTACAAAACTTCTTCGACTGTCCCTCTATCTGAAGCATGTGACATTGTCCAGAGCCACTATAACAATAACCCCCACAGTTCTCACAACAGTTCATGGTGAGATTGTTAGCAGAGCGAAACTTAGAGAAACAGGCATCACTGCAAAGTTTATGTACCACATTCTGGTAATTAACTTCATGCCGAATCTAGGATTAAAAATCAACAGCATAAAAAAAAATCAACACAGAAACAACAAGCAGAAAACATGAAAAACTATTCTTTAAGCATAAATATCAGACTCCTCAATAAAGTAAAAAAGTAACTTACAACAGCATTTTTCTGACACATGCTGCATTTGGTTGAAATACTATTTGTATTTATGGTAACGATAGGTTTTTTTTTCAATTCGTATGTTGACAAACATGACTGACTGCAAAAATCTTTGCTAGTGGTGGTATTTTCAAATTGGGCACTGATCACATCCTTTGGATTTAAAATGTCTCTAAAAATAAGAACAAAGATTAAAATAAGATACAATATAATTTCTTTACTTTTGTGAACTAAAATAACTGAGGAAAACAAAGGTGATTATATTGTAAGGAAAAGGCACTGAAATTTAAATGTAAAAACCTGGGTTTTCTTGAATACACTTATAAGTTGCTTTGATCCTTGAGTTCTTTTCTATGAAATGGAATTAATATACCAGCTACTTCTTAGAACTGGAGTGAATTTTAGTACGTTTCAAAGATTAAAAGGAAATACATCAAATAGTTAGCATTCATTATCTCTACAGGTGAGATTATAGATTTTAATTTTCTTCAGGATTATCTATATTTTCAAAATATTCTTTAAAAGTGATGTATTACACTTGAAATACTTAAAAACAACTACCTTTTCAAAGTCAACATGCATTTTAAACTACACAATGGGAGTGGGACACAAATGCAATCAGTGTAACCTAATTCTTTGCACCCTCAACGAATTCCAAACAACAACAAAAAACATCATACATATTCTGGCATGGTTACATAAAATCTAACATTTCCATATCTAAATAATTTAAGTTATAAGCATTAATGGCAAAGGCTGTGATGATTAAAACCCCAATTACTAAGCTCCCAACTGCTTCAATCCCAATCCCACCACCAAGCTACTCTTTCTACGTAATTTACCAGATAGCTTAAGTGGAAACCATTTTAAAAACCAAGTTTCCCAATTGATGACATTTTCTAAACAGTGTCTCCCATAAGTACATACCCACATAATAGTTATTAAAGTGTTGTATTTATTCCTGCATCTTAAATTACACCAATAGAATATTTCAGAAAAGCTTATAGGCATACCGCATTTCACTGAAGTTCACAAGTAATGTTTTTATTAAAACAATTTAAGCTATGTGGCAACCCAACGTCAGGCAAGTTGATCAGCCATCTTTCCTTCTTTTTTTTTTTTTTTTGGAGACAGAGTCTCACTATGTCGCCCTGGGTGAAGGGCTGTGGCATCACAGCTCACAGCAACCTGAAACTCTTCGGCTCAAGTGATTCTCTTGCTTCAGCCTCCCAAGTAGCTGAGACTACAGGCGCTGGCCACACGCCTGACTATTTTTTTGTTGTAGTTGTCATTGTTGTTTGGCAGGCCCCAGGCCGGGTTTGAACCCACTAGTCTCAGTGTACATGGCCAGCGCCCTAGCCGCTGAGCTATAGGTGCCAAGCCCAGTGCCATTTTTCTAACAGCGTTTGCTTACTTTGTGTCTCTGTATCATGTTTTGGCAATTCGTACAATATTTCAAACTTTTTCATTATTATCTTATCTGTTGTCATCTATTTATCAGTGATCTTTGGTGTTACCACTGCAAGTGTTTTAGGGCACCATGAACCATGACCATATGATGGTGAACATAACTGATAAACATTCTGTGTGTTCTGACTGCTCCACTGACTAGCTGTTCCTGTCTCTCTCCCTATCCTTGGGCCTCTCTATTCCCTGAGATACAACAATATTAAAAATAGGCCAAGTAAAAACCTCACAGTGACCTCTGAGTGTTGAACTGAAAGGAAGAGCTGCATGTTTATCACATTGAATAAAAAGTGAGAAATGATTGAACTTTGTGAGAAAGGTATGTTGAAAGCCAAGGCAGGCTGAAGGCTAGGCCTCTTGTATCCATTAAACAAGTTGTAAATGGAAAGGAAAGGTACACAAATGACAAGAAAGCAAAACAGTCTTATTGCTAATAGGTAAGAAATTTTTACTGGTCTGGATAGAAGATCAAACCAACTGCAACATTCCCTTAAGCTAAAGTCTAGTCCATAGCAAGGCCACAACACTCTTCAATTCTATGAAGGCTGAGAGGCAGCTGTAGAAGAAAAGTTTAAAGCTAGGTTGGCTCATGAAGTTTAAGGAAAGAGGCCATCTCCAGAACATAAAAGTGCAAGGGGAAGCAGCCAGCGCTGATGTAGAAGCTGTAGCAAGTTACCCAGAAGATATAGCTAAGATCAAAAAGTAGCTACACTAAATAACTGATCTTTCAATGCAGGCAGAGCCGTTTTTATTAGAAGATGCTAACCAGGACTTTCATAGGTAGAGAAGTCAATGCCTAACTTTAAAGCTTCAAAAGTCAGGCTGACTCTCTTATTAGGAGTTAATGTAGCTGGTGACTTTAACTTGAAGCCAATGCTCATTTACAACATGAAAATCCCAGAGCCTTTAAGAATTATACTAAATCGGGGCGGCGCCTGTGGCTCAAAGGAGTAGAGCGCCGGCCCTAAATGCCAGAGGTGGTGGGTTCAAACCCAGCCCCAGCCAAAAATGGGTAAATTTTTGTGGGTAAAATGCAATTAAACCATTGCATGATATAGAGAAATCTTTTGTGAAGAGTCAAGCAATGCAGCAAATTTCATTGCTATAGTTTAAGGAATTGCCACAGCAACCCCAACCTTCAGCAACCATCTCCATGATCAGTCAGAAACCATCAGTATTGAGGCAAGACCTTCCACCAGCTAAAAGATTAGGTCTCACTGAAAGCTCAGAGGGTTGTTAGTATTTTTTAAGAAGAAAGCACTTTTACATCTTTTTATTTTTTATAGTTTTTTGCCCACGGTTGAGTTTGCACCCGCCACCTCCAATATACGGGGTTGGCGCCCTACTCCTTTGCGCCACAGGCGCCACCCCTCAAGAATAAAGTATTTTAAATTAAGAGATGTACTTTTTAAAAAAGAAACAATGCTACTGCACCCTTAACCAGACTATAATGTAGCGTAAACATACTTTTATAAGCCCTGGGAAACCAAAAACTTCATGTGATATGCTTTATTCAGATTTTTCCTTTACTGAAGTGGTCTGGAACTGAATCCTCAATATCTCCAAGGTATGGCTACACAAATATCTGGTCTTCAGTAAAAGATAATAGTAAACATATCGGAAAATTATCATAAGATATAATCTTATAGGCTCAGCGCCTATAGCTCAACTGGCTAAGGCGCCAGCCACGTACACCTAAGGTGGCAGGTTCGAATCCCCAGCCTGGACCCGCCAAAACAACAATGACAGCTGCAACCAAAAAATAGCCGGCGTTGTGGCGGGCGCCTGTGGTCCCAGTTACTTGGGAGGCGGAGGCAGGAGACTCGCTTGAGCCCAGGAGTTGGAGGTTGCTGTGAGCTGTAATGCCACGGCACTCTACCCAGGGGGGACAGCTTGAGGCTCTGTCTCAAAAAAAAAAAAAAAGATATAATCTTATACCTGACGTTATGCTATACTGTCCTATGTAACTCCATACCACGACATTTTCCATACTTAGCAGCTTAGACTGCTTTGCTTTCTGCTTTGTTTTACCTTTACAGTATTTTTAACATTAGGTGTTAACATATTTCATACTGAGCCATTATATTGAGCCAGATACTCATTAAATCATGAGTTAAGATATAGTCCATGTATGTACTCAAGGAGCTCCCAGTTACTGGGACAAATAGATAATTTACAAAATATTATAACAAAAGCATTCATAACACATCATATAAATAATTTTATAAAAACATATGAATATGTACTATAGAAATAAAAACGAAGGCTCAGCACCTGCAGCACAGTGGTTATGGTACCAGACACATACACACAGGGTGGCAGGTTCAAACCCAGCCTGGGCTAAACAAGACAACTGCAACAAAAAATAGCCAGGCACAGTGGCAGGGGCCTGGCTATTAATCTGGTTAGTCCCAGCTACTTGGGAGGCTGAGGCAAGAGAATCACTTAAGCCCAAGAGTTTGAGGTTGCTGTGAGCTGCGATGCCATAGCACTCTACCAAGGGCAATATAATAAAACTCTGTCTCAAAAAAAAAAGAAAAGAAATAAAAATGAAATAATTATTTCAGATCATATGTGACATGAAAGGCCATCCCAATAAAAGTGGCATTTTAATTGTTTTATTTTATTTATTTTTTTTGCAACAGAGTGTCACTATGTCACACTTGGTAGAGTGCCGTTATGTCATAGCTCATAGCAACTACAAACTCTTGAGCTTAAGCAGTTTTCTTGCCTCAGCTTCCCAAGTAGCTGGGACCACAGGTACCTGCCACAACACCCGGCTATTTTTTTGTTGCAGTTGTCATTATTGTTTAGGGCCATGTTCAAACTTACCACCTTCGGTGCATGTAGCCAGCACCGTAACCACTGTGCTAAAGGAGCTGAGCCCAAGTGACATTTTAGTTGAAATTTAAATAGGAGTTTTCTAGAAGGTTAAGGAGATAAGGATTGGGAGCAGCATGAAACAAGGCAATGAAAATATAAAAGGTTATTTTTCATTGCTCTAAGTATGCTTGGAATCTGGTTAGATTAACTTTTATTGTAGTAGGAATATGCTATGCTCTACTCCAATACAGATTGTATCTTATGCCAGAATGAGAAGCAGCAATTTCATTGCAGTTAGTAAAAATTCAGAAATGGAATAAACAATCTGTAAAC